ATTGAGCTCGATACGACTTATAGGAAGAGTAGTAAATGCCTTTTTGTCTGTTATTGGCGGTTTCGACCGTTATGACGACATTCAAAGTCGTCATTAACACCGGTCAGCCCATTTGAGTAACTTCTGCCTTAATTACATTAATAGCTACAATAATGTATACAAAACCGTTATAATAGTTAGCTAGCATTAAACCTAATTAGTAACTCCTGTCATGGTCAAGCCTCTTGAACGTAGAATAAAGTGTCAAATTCCTGCCCCAACAGTCATCTGAGCGTAAGAGAATTGGATCAATAATTTCAGAGAATGTGATATCTATCCCTTGTGATAGATTAGTATAAATCAGAACGATTCTCTTTATCCAATTTCTAATAACCTCGAGAAGTCTTTAATTTCACAAAGTTCTCTATTTCTAATTTCTATTAGCTTTGAGAAGTCTTGAATTTTAAAAGAGCGATAGTAAGAGCCTAGTAAAACTAAGAAAGGTTTCTTATGAGTCAGTTGTGAGAAAAAAGAATAGATCTTTTAGTGTGAGAACAGAATCTTTAAGATGATCCTCAAAGACAGTGAGTGATGAGAACTTTATAGACAAAGTCAACAAAGAAAGGTTTCTCATGAGTCATTCATTAGGGTGAAGTAATCCCAAAATAAATAGAGGTAAGTGAATTAACAGTATACTTACAAAACCAATATGGTACATATCACTATATACTATGTAGTGTTAATATAGAAGATTGTCTAATCATTTTCTTAATGATTCTACCTCATCCTTTATGTTTACTCAAATGTATTGACCTATTAGGTAGTTTTATGTGTCTATATTTTTTAATTAAATAAAAATTTGATGTATCTCCGTCATTTGCAATGGAGCCAAAGGTTCACTATTTTTTAGCTCGAGAATATGATGGAATAAAGCAAAATGACTCACTTAACTGTGCACTTCTTTGTTATGAAGCAACAATCAGTCCATGCAACTTTTGACACGATTTTCACCTTGGGTCATCCGGAAACAGTCACTTTGTGCTTTAGTACAGGGGTAAGTCTGCGTTCATCTGACCCCCTTAGCCCACTGTCGATGGGAGCCTTTGCGGCACTGAGGTAATGATGATGATGATGAACAATTTGACGTCTACTCTGAAGGCATAAATTAAATATCAGATACCTCGTGAAATTTGTCAGCGTATTTGCTTATAGTTTGCATGAAATTATGTGATTAAGCAAGTGTTGATCATATGGGGTTATTTTTACTTAAAAAGCACTTCTTTCTTTTCCAGGTCACAGAGTAGAGCATACTTGAATTAATGGTAGATTATACGTCATGCTAAAATATTAATAAAGATCCATGACCTCCTTGACTATTGCTACTTAAAATAAGATGATACTAGCTTAACTCTAATATCAATCTTGTAATGACAAATGACAAAAACAATTTTTTAGACTCATCAAACCTTTCCAATTATGCCTTCTGCATGAATTTATAGTGTTAACTAATTTAGTCAATTAACTGACACTACAAACTTCATGAATCCAATTAGTTGGAATTCAAGTGGTTGTGATGAAAGTTAATTTTATTGTATGCTTTCTGTTAAGGTCTCAAAGAAGCAGAGAATGCCCTATTTGTTTTAGGCAGCTTCTCTTGAAGGACTTTTTCAGGTAACTCTTCTTTGCTGCAAAAGTGTCATTGTTTGAGTGATTTTTCAACAATATTGTGCCTCATGTTTCAATGCTATCTTTTGTCATGCTAGTGTATTTAAAACTCTTCTATTATACCTTTTTTTAAAATGAGTTTCCACTTTCCAGCCAAGAGATGTTAGCTGCAGTGGAGTTTGAGGAGATTACATCATTAAGGCATATTGAGGTTAATCCTCTTAAAGTTTGCAAAGACAACTATCTGGTTGACGTGGTAAGGCCCGGGAGGAAGTTCTACATTTATGTTGATTATTACTTCTACAACATTTCAACTAAGAGTTTCATCTCTATGATGCTTCTCACAATGAAGATTCTCATTTTGAATTAGAGGAGTATATATGGAGCATCACTACTTAGGTGAGTCCAACACAGCTTTCTGAAAATAGTATAAGGCAGATATCTTCACAACTTGTTTCACATCAACATCTCTCCTCATTTCCTGTCGCCTCATCTGGTTCAACTATGTGCGGAATAAGTGACTTTTCTAGAAAGATCTCAGGTGCCAGTTAATGAATTTGGGATTGGTGCGGCACAAGCTTCTGGGATTTTATATGGTTCTTCTTCAGTCTTTTCATTTGTTCCAAGAGTAGTGCCTAAGCTAGTGCTACCGCCTATAGGGGTGGTTCAAGTGTTGGCCTTAGGTACACTATTATCATTGATGAAATTATCTCATTGAAAATTTCATAGAAACTTCCGTAATTTGAGGTCTCCGAATTCAATAAGGAGGCAATGAAGTTTCTATAGAAATTCAGAGAAAATTAGGAAAATATCTACCAATAACGAAAGATATCGAAACATTTGGAGAAATACTGGAAAATACATCTGAAGTATCAGTATACGTTATTACTTTTTTCCAACAAACTTGCAAAGTGTAGTTTTCTTCTTTACCAGAAAAAATCCATATCAATAATGAGAGGTCCACCTATTTTTACCAAGTTCACAGTTCTGATATTGGTATTATAGCTATAACCCCCTACCTAATCTATATTTTAAGCATATTCTGAATCAACTATATTGGTATTATAGTAATGCACCATTCCCTGCTTTCATCAGTTTACATACGCTCTCATAGTATACTATATATGTGGTAATTTATGAAAAGCAATAATTTGTGAATGACGGCTACATGTGCACTTGTTTTCATCCTTTTGACATTCTCTGAAAAGTTTATGTCTTTTTTGTTCCTCATCCACAAACATGACTTTGCTATTGCGGTGAATCCTTTATTAACCTTCAACAGCCTAAGGAGTCTGAACTGTTTGCTACTTCAACTAGGTAATGGGGTTCGGTTCGGTTTTATATCTTCTTAAATATTACTTCTCTTTTTCTCACAGTGGAGGTCTTGTTGCAGCTGCAAAGAAATATTACTAGCTTAGAATAACTCCTTGAAGGAACTTAGCAAAGAAGTGCAGCATGAGATGGGTGCGTGAGCATTGCCGGTCTAGCCAAAATGGTTGAACGCCTTGATGTTAGCTCAAAATCTGGTCGGGCTTCTGGACCTCCTCTATCCAGCTCAATTGTGAGAACCTCTATGTTTGGGCAACTAGGGAAAAAACATCATTGACCTCCTTGGCATTGAACATAATACCAACCCCTCATACTATAAAAAATAGATAGCTTTCTCTTTATTGCATTCAAGACACTGTTATACTCTAGCTTTGTATAGGTAAAAGTGTAGAAGTTCAAAGTTGATTAAATGGAAAGCACATAAATGCGCCACCTCTCATTCTCAAAATCAACATTTTGACACACAAATCTACCTTCTCAAAGTCTGATGGCATCGACGATGATGTATAAATTTTCATCCTTTTCTGCTACTTCATGTTACTTTGACTATTGTGTTCTTCATTACGTCATGTGAATAAATAGTACTTTGTTAAGTTTAACAGTCAGCTTTAACATATGGTAACATTTAAGTTTTATAATTATTATTCAGACTGAAAGGAGATCACTACTTATTTAATATTTATAATAGTGCAATGGTCTTGTTGACACTTGACAGCACACTAAAACTATTGAGAGACTACATATGTTTTTCCTTCAAAATTTCTATGTTAGAAGTCCATTATATTTGCAATCAGAAGACACCATTATGAATGATGCCCAACATGGATGACATTGATGTTATAGAATTGGTTTGACTGGCTACAAAATTGGTCTCCGGCCTTCGTGTGTGCTAATTACTGGTCAATGTCTGAACTGTGGACCATTGAGAAGAGACGAATTAATGAAAACAATAAGAACTAGTACACTGTCATTGGACTTGTTTGACTTAGATAATTCAAATTTGTAATGTTATGAAAATGATGAGAACCAGTACACTCTTATTGATGATGAATAATATAATTTCATTACTTAATGAGTATATGATACTTGGTCAAGTTCAAATGAACTTTTTACAGAAATAATTCCAAATATATAACCAAAATAAAAGTAGTGGACAAAAATGTGACTCCAGTAACTTTAGTATTATAATTCTATTCAAATAATAAATCATAGTAATTATAAAACTTACTCATATTAACTTATAGTCACAATTTTGTCCAGAGATTTTTTATTAGCAATATTTTAGGAAAAAACTCAAGTGATGGAGCATTTTACATTTCCATCGATTATCATACGGTCATACCATCCCAAACTACTACCTCCGTCCCATTAGAAGGTTCCCGTTCATTATTCACATGGTCAACTTAAATCATTTTTAATCTTTCACTTTATATATCAATTTTTTTATCAAATTTACATTTTTTTATCAGGCTTTGTAGTTTCTGAATATGTAAATTTTATTTATTATAAATAATCAGAGTGTGAACATGGATTAAGTTGCTTTATCGTCAGTCAAGCATCGTAAACCGTTCACGGGAACCTTCTAGCGGGACGGTGCGAGTAATACATTGGCAGGTCCTAATAATTGTGATGGACATCACTTGGAGTATTGGACGATTGACGTAGCATGGGAGTATGGGACAAGTTCATGATATACAATTGCATTCGAAACTTGGGGCATTGTATGAGTGTGCTTTGAATAAATGTTGTTCTAAGACAAACATGCTTCATCTTTTATACTTTTGTGTTACTATTCGTGTTGTGCTTGAAAGAGACGGTTAAATTGGAACATTGTTGTGTTTGTCATTAATTTAAGGAGTTTCCTACCACACTTTCATTTTCAACAATATTTAACCATCATTTCTTAAAAAGCGGGCAAAGTAAAAAGAAGAATATAAACTAGTTTTAAACTTGGAAAGGAAAGTGGTTGATAACATTTCAATCCAAATCACAGCTATACATTCTTTTTCAACAATACTGGCCTAATGGTTCACTTCTTAAAAACATGAATATTTTAGAATGGAGTTGCATCACTTAAAACTTAAAAGTAACATACATAAATACTTGACAATATGCTATGATTTCATTTCAAATAATCTTATTTTACAAATTAGGAAAGTGCTGAATATGAACATGTTTTATAGTGTTTCTATATTGTGATAACAAATGCTTCAACCAGTACCTTTAAAATGTTTTGATTAAATTAAGTTGCCGGGGGGAATCATCTACTAGTCAAAATTGCAAAAGCTCCAGAGAATGTATTGCATCGAGTAATGAAAACAATATACTAGCAATTTAGCACTCGATTCTGACCGCTCCACTTTCAGATGAAACGAACTTCGGTTTTCTGTTCACTTCCTCTAAGCACTGGATGATGTCACCTACCTGGAAGTCGAAGCAATTGCGGATGACTAGTCCACATTCAGAGCCTTTCCCAACAGTCTCCACGTCCTGCTTCTCTCGCTTCAATGATGCACAACACCCTTCGAAAACAACTTCACCACTCCTCAGGAGCCTCATTGATGATGACTTCGTTATCCGGCCATCTGTCACCCTACACCCAGCAATCTTCACATCATCTCCCTTGGCTTTACTCCTCCCTTTGGTTTCAAAGATACCTAACACCTGTGCTTCTCCAGCTACCTTTGTCTCCAAAGTCCCCGGAGCTTTTTCAACAATCAACTTCCCTATGTCCTCCAGTAGATGATATATTACGCGATGCAATATTATCTATACAACCAACCTCAACAATTTCAGTACAAATATCAAAACTCCTCTTACAGATGTTTCTTCATATATTAATTAAAAACTAACAGTAGATAGAAACATAAACAAACTTTAGAAAGACTGTTATTTTATCATTACTACTTTCATTCCCAAATGCAAGATAAGTTTGAGTTTGGCAAGAGTTTTAAGAAAACAAAGGAGATAGTTGTTATTTTATAATTGTAACTTTCTAAACGGGAGAAAAAAACAGTATGGGTGAATGTGAAATGATTATAAAAGGGCAAAGTGGGAAAGAAAAAAGTTACTGGAGTAGTATTAAACCTTGATGCCAGCTCTGTTTGCTTCCTGACATAGAGAAGTAGGTGGGCTTTTAACATTGAAGCCCACAATACATGCGTCACAAGCTTGTGCCAAATCTACATCAGACTCAGAGATGGACCCAACACCACCATGGATGACCATCACATTGACCTATTAGCATATCACATAAAATTTTAATTTCTTCTGATATTGGGAGAGGTTAGGGTTGAGGTTTCTCAATAAACAAACAAACCAAGAGAAGCCAAGTTTAAAAAACAAACCTGGGGGCTATCCAAGCTCCTCAGTGCATCTGTGACAGCTTGAACAGTGCCTTGAACATCTCCTTTAACTATAAATGTCATTTCCACCCTTCTGGGCTTTTGTTTGTTTCCCTCCTGTGCTTCTGGATCTTCTGAATCATCCTCGTCTTGCTCCTCCATAGATCTATCAGCTACCTGCTTATTTAGTCTATCTCTTTCGTTTTTCTTTTTCCTTCCATCACTAAGCATCCTTGCCCTTTCCTCAGAATGCACCACGACAATATCATCACCAGCCATGGGTAACCCTTTCAACCCTTCTATCTCGACAGGCATTGCTGGTTTGGCCTCATCCGCCCATTTTCCAGCCACATCCCTGATAGCCCTTATCTTCCCCCACTCCGCACCTACGACAACATGCTGGCCACAAACCAGCGTTCCTGTTTTCACGATGGCAGTAACTAATGGACCCCGTCCCTTGTCAAGCCTTGCTTCAACTACATAAGCCTGAGCAGGCCCATCACTACGCGCTTTTAAATCCATAAACTCGGCCTGCAGAAGCAAAGCCTCTTCTAAGTTATCCAAACCAGTTTTATTTACTGCAGAAACTTCAACAACCTGAACATCTCCACCCATTTCTTCCAAGGGCAGCCCTTCAGATGCAAGCTGGACTTTCACCCTCTCTGGGTTTGCTGCAGGCTTATCACATTTGTTAATTGCAACAACAATCGGCACATCAGCTGCTTTTGCATGAGAGATTGCTTCAAGCGTTTGAGGCATGACACCATCATCGGCAGCCACTACCAACACAACTATGTCTGTCACTGCTGCACCTCTGGCTCGCATTGCACTGAATGCAGCATGGCCAGGAGTATCAAGAAATGTGATTGATGCCCCTGAGGTCATGTTGACAACAAATGCTCCCAAATGCTGAGTTATGCCTCCGGCTTCTTTAGCTGCCACAGATGTTTGCCTCAGAGCATCTAAAAGTGATGTTTTGCCATGGTCAACATGGCCCATCACTGTGACGACTGGAGGACGTGGTAGAAGTTCAGCACCTTCGTCCGAATGCTGCCTTCTGACCTTCACTCCTACTTCCTAAGAAATGAAAAAATTTATGCTCAGCCAAATGAAGGGAGGTAGAAAGTGACCAAATATCTAAAATAGAGACATCACAAAATTTCCTTTTGGCAAAACATTTAAACAAAAAAATTGTAATGCTGGAGAAAATATGCCCTCATTTCAAATAGTTGAGGGGTATATATGATATGTGGTTGAAGGGTATATTTGTTGAAACTTTACAGATTTTTTCCCCAAAAAAAGTTGAGTGTATATATGTTCTCCTACATATAGATCAAGGATAAATTTGTTCCTTATCCCTTCACACGCTACATGCTATATCTTGAGCCCCACTTATGACACTTAAATACAGACCCAGGTTTCAAAACTTGGGTGGTAAAGATACAATTGGTAACTAAGAAGAACTTATTACCATTGCAACTAGCTCAGCAACGTCAACACTGAGAGGATCAAATTCTGATTCAATTTTCTCCCCCACATTCAGAAGGATATCCTGAACAACAGATAATGGTTTTCCACATCGCTTGGCAAGCTCAACAGTCGTCATTCCTTCGAATATGTCAACTGTTCTCTCATAAGATGAGCTGCCAGTTGTTTTAAGTTTAGGAGGTATGTAAGGTTTTTCAACAGGCGGGGAAGTACTTTTTGTCCTTTTCTTGAACTTTCCTTTCTTTTTAGCCTTCAATCCCAATGCTTCATCATCCATTCTCCTATCAAGTGCTTTTGGAGTGGCATGAAAAGTCCTATTGACAAACAGTTAATACAACAAAGAATTTTCTTTACAAATTATAAAAAAATAAAATGCCCTCAGTTATCTTCATTTTCACAAGATAGGGCAAAGCTATTGATTTTCATGATTTAATGTGATTGACTTTACATTAACATGTGTCAGTTAAACATAAACAAGGTCTTCTCCTCCAAATCTTGTCGGAACTTGCAAGTTATAGTACATGTTATAGCAAGCAATTCAAAAGACAATGATATAGTGTTACACACACAAATATCAGCATTCAATTTAAACTTAGATTCACTTATTGTTGTAGACTCATGGGACTGCTTTATTACTAAATGTAATGGGTTTCTTCTCATTTCCCGATGGCTTCCCTATTCGCAAGGAGTAGAATAACTGCAAACAGCTTAACAGCCTGATATTTTATAGAAGAAGCTCACATCCTAATGATTCATACTTGGAAAATGACATCCATCCATACAGCCAATTTCCTCTTCTCTTAGAAAATGATTTTACTACTCTTTCTCATCTCCCCTCAAAAGAATAGTACTCAAAAGTCCAAAGAGGATATGGGCTGTCAGAAACTTATATTTGAAATGCTTGTCACATCATCTTTGCACTATGCGTACGAAAATGCTTGCAATAATACTTTTTATGTACCTTATAAATGTCTTATTGGACAAGATGGCGGCATTTTCTGCCAATAACACAGGACTTGGGGAATATCCTGCAAACACATTCAAATATAAAACACATGTAAGCAGACTGCACACAGGAATATCAGGAGAAGGTGTTGCATTTGCTTTTTAGCCATGCAATCACGAAAAACATATGTAGAATCAGTAATAGAAAAATTTAACTATAGTTTTATATATTTAATAAGTTAGGATGGTCAATGGGCAATAAAACATCCAAATCAGATATATGGATATACATACCCTCTGTAAATTTAGCCAAAAGAGTAAGTGAATTTAATGCCTCATTGAGATTGGAGGACACTGAGGCTGCTGTCTGTTTTGATGTCACTGTCAATGTTTTCTTGAAACAAAAAAATATAACCTGCAAAAGTAATACTAGGCAGGTGTTATCATAGTTTAGTAGAGCTTCGGATTCACACAAATTATATCATTATGTAACTTCCTCGAACCTTTTTCATTTTCAACGCCATCCATATGTCAACTAAAAGGAGTAAAGGACTACATTTCAATTGGACCTTGGAGAAATAACTAGAGTGTACCTTAACTTTGGTGTTTCCCAGACCAGCCATTGGTCAAGAAAAAGATTTGTTTTCTCACTATTGATTTTCATAAACTATGCAATTGATCATTATGCAATTTGTTTTCTCACTATTTGTAACTGGTCTTGATTGAGAATTTGAATTTGGAGACTTATGAAAGAGAAAGTGGCAATATACCAGAAGCACTTTACACTCTTCTTCAGAACTACGTAGTACAACGTACACTATGAAGTGTGGACACATAAATAGGGTACATTTTCAATAGCACATCACTTCAGAATACCACACCACCATGCTTTAGAACACTAAAAGGTCTACATTTCAATTGGTCCTGGTAGAAAAAACTACAATAAAAATATCTAAAATTCTGGAGACTTAAGAATTTGAATTTGGTGAATAAGAGATCGTTTCCTTATAGGCAAATATTTGTAACTTTTTTTTATGCTAAAACGATATTACTGCGAGTATAACTTATCAAGGATAATGAATAAGACAAAGGATTTCAAGTATTCAAGTTCCACAAGAATGACCAGATGAAGCTTTTATGAATTAAAAACGCACCTTTTTCTCTAAAACTCTCCACGCCATTCATATGTCTAACCTATGCACCTTCAAACAAGAAAGGAATCAAAAAAGGGACTATATAATAGTCGTTGCAAAATTTTGAATACTTCAAAGATAGATGAGTTCAATTGAAAATATAAAATTAATAACTTGGGAATCAAAAGTAAATACTCCCTCCGGTTCTTAATTAAGTTCCTAGTTTGACTTCACACATATTAAGAAATAAATTTGACTTTACTGTAGAGTGCATTGTTTGAACACTATTTGGCACTGTTTAAACACTGTTTGGCACTGTTTTGGTGTAAATCATTTGCCAAATAAGGAAAGGTTTGAAGTAGGAACTTTAATATGGACCATCCCAAAAAGGAAAGTAGGAACTTAATTACGGGACAGAGGGAGTACTCAAAAATAACTTCAGGAAATTAATCAAAAGACAAACTTCAGAGACAATAGAAAGTGAATAAGCACACATGAATTGCTGCAAAGTAGAAGAAAAGAAACCTTAAAAGGGATATATACATTCAATACAGATTTACAGCCATATGCCCATACACACACCATGAAAAGTCATGTTTATCATTTTTTGTCATGTTCGGTTATTATTCATTTATAAACTTCAGAATCATGAATTGGGCAATATGGAAAAACAAAACAAACATTTTTGCAGATAGTAAAATGAACATCAAATAAAAAAATTGAAAAAACAATACATTCTAGTTTGGGACAATTACATTGTTATCTTTCCGTAGTTACTCCTGGTACATGCTAAAATAGGTTCTGTAGACAGTTTTTTAATTGAATTGAAAGAAACAGGCCAATGATCCATCGCAATTTTATTGTTAAGTACAAAAGACCAGCAAGATCATATTAGAACATTTTAAAAGGATAACCTATTAAAATACAAAAGAGGCCTATAATCTACAGGACCTTATAGGTAAGTTGAATCGACTGGCCAAGCAAACAATCTGAGATAAGCACCTGCAGTTCAGGGTTGGTAAAAGTGTGCACTTAGAACCCTTTTGTCGATTTTGGCTGGTAAATTATGGTCATCCATAATTAGGACGCCAACATGACTCGAGATATCAAGCGGTCCTCTACAAGTTGAGGTCTTTAAATTGGGTTTTCAGGTTTCAAGTTTTCTGTGTGTGGGCAGCAAGCTTGATGGGGTTTTGGATGTTATCTTTGGCTAAGGAGTAGGGAAAATCAAGGCCGGTCCTGAGAAATGGGGACCCTGTGCAGCAACAAAAGTTGGCCTTTTTTCAAGTTCCAACACAAGTAATTTGTACTAAAATACATATTACTAATGAACATAATAATACAAATAAAATTAGTCATTAATAAAATACCCTTCAATTATTCAAATTCTCCCCTAATCCTGTACATGTTAAAAATATTTTGGTTAATATTTAATTTACATTATTTAATTTACATTATTTAATTTACATTATTCAAATTCTTAATTGAATAATTTTTAAGCACACATATTCTCAAATCTCAATTCAATTACTTAATAAGTACGTAGTAATAAACTTCTGCAATGAACAAATCACAACAAGGCAAGTAGGCAACCATGAACTAACTAATTTCACTAATTTGCAATTATAGAATCAAAAAAATCGGAAAATCTGCTTATTTGCTTACCGGACACCGGTTACTGCGGGTAGCGGCTGGACAGTGGACTTCCGAACTGGTGCGGTCGTGGTCCTGGAGGCTGGAGGCGGTCACTCCCGGTCAGGATGGGCGTCGCTGCGTGGTGCGGTGGTGGCAGGCTGGAGGCCTGGAGACTGGCGAGTGGCGCCGGACAGAGCCGGTCGTCGGCCGCTTTTTCTTCCGGTCTTCGGTATTCCGCACTCGGCACTCCGCAGACCGCACGTCCCCTTCGTAGTTCGTTCTGTATTTCCTTCGGCCTTTAGCAGTTCATTGAGTTCAAAGCTTCAGACTTGCGATTCCCTTCGTTCCATTTCCTTCGCAGACTTCACAGTTCAAAGCTTCGGAACGACGGAACCTGGGCTCAATACTCGTATTAAACTATTAATTTTTTTGTTGGGCCTTCCACAATTTTGGGCCTGCACAAATGGGCTGGGTGTACCTGCCCTGGGCCGGCCCTGGAAAAAATGTACTACCTCCGTCCCGTTGGAATGTTCCCACTTTCCTTTTTTAGATGTCCCAATGGAAAGTTCTCATTTCCCTAAATGGAAAGTTATCCTACATCAAAACAGTGTCAAACAGTGCAAAACAGTGTCAAACAGTGTCCAAACAGTGTCCAAACAGTAAAATTTACCCCCTGGTAAGTTTATTTCCTTAATATGTGTGTAGGTCAAACCGGGAACATTCCAACGGGACGGAGGGAGTACTACGTATAATGGAGGCGACGATAGAGAAACTCCACCCTCCACCGGAAAGATGTGTAGCAACTAGCAATAAGGATGGCAATAGGGACGGGGACCCGTGGGAAACCGCTCAGCGGGGGGAGGATGGGGCGGGGCTTGGGGCGGGGTGGGGACGGGGATGAGTGAGATATTTTTACGCCGTTAAAATATGGGACGAAGGACGGGTATTGCTACACCCGCCCCGTCTCAGCCTCGTCCCCGTTATAAATATATACTCAAACATATATATATATATATACACTTATATAAATAATGTACACACATATTAAATTAAATTATATGCAGTATGTAACAAACTCATATAAATATAGACATACATAATTGTATACGGTTTAATCATGGTTAACTAATTAATACACATATTATACTAGAATAATATGGAGTAATAAGCTAATAATGATTAAAAGTATTTATCATAAATGTTATATGAGTTTTAAGAGTGGGAAAGCGAGTAAATAAATACACACACATTTATATGTAATATAATATGTAATTAATTGTATTGTAATTGTTGAGAATTTTGAAACAACGTACATGGTGATAATATGTTTAGTTTAATTGTCTTCAATTCACAAAACTTATTCAAATTGAAGAATTATTAAAATTGGCGGTATTAACTTTTAACAAACACAATACTTCAGTGTTGCGTGTGTGTGTGTCATATATGACTGTGTGCGCGTAGATATATATAAGTTTAGGATCAAATGAGAACAACGATTAACGTGAGAATGTGCGAACACCGCATTTACCCCCAATGTGAAGCACAATGGGCTCGCGCAATGCACTTTTCGTATCTAGCATAATATTTACAAAAGTGTCACCGTGATTATATATATTACCTTGTATTGAGCAATGTCCAAATGTGAACTAGAATGACTCTATTGTGTATCACATTGGATTATTGTGTATCACACTGGATTAAATGTGATTGTTCCCACGTTAAGCATCGTTCTCGTTGGAATCACACTATATATATTTATAATAAGAGATTAAAAGTATATGCAAATACGATAAAGTAAATCTATATGGGGGCACCTGTGGACACCCGCGGGGACAAAGGGATGAGGGCGGGAATGGGGGGAACTTTTTAGACATGGGGTGGGGGATGGGGGAGTGTACCACCGCCCCAAACCCACATCATTGCCATCCCTAACTAGCAAGTGTCCTCAACCCGAGTGATAACCGGGTCATCCCAGGTCATTACTTATGTACTTAGGATTTAGGGGCGGTCAGGCGGGTATCATCCGAATAAGTTTGGGAAATCCAACAACTTCCAATAACCGCCGATTTGAGCATTTTTAAATTAGGTATATCAAGTCTCTTAATAGAAATCAAACCTTATCTATCTTGTTTGGAACAAATTAATTGATTAGCATTGTCGATTTTCTTTTTTTTGTAAAAAATAAGTTTCCCTGTGTTAGCAAAATTGATACTCCCTTCGTCCCATTAGAAGGTTCTCACTTTCCTTTTTTGGACGTCCCATTAGAAGGTTCTCATTTCCATTTTAGGAAACAATTAACAATCTTAAGTGACAAATTAATCAGTAAATATTAAAAATATTAAATTTATAACATCACAGTTATCAATATTAATTACATTATAAGATATACCTATTAAAATTATTTCTCAAAATATACTCGAAGTACTTTTGTTAAAAAGTCCCACACCGGAAAAAATTGAATCAACTAAATGATATATTAAGACATGAGCTACTCCTCCTATCAGGTTGACCTTTTAGGATGGAACCCCGAGTCTTAACATGGTATCAGAGCCAAATCGATCAATGGTGTGGGCCCCCTTATAAAAAAAGACGACCCGATAATAAAAAAAATGGCAATGACGAACCGACGAAACAAAATGAATGACGGCACGATCCAGACGAAGTGTTTGGTCATGAGGGGGGGTGTTAAAAAGTCTCACACCGGAAAAATTTGAATCAACTAAATGCTATATTAAGACATGAGATACTCCTCCTATCAGGTTGACCTTTTAGGATGGAATCCCGAATCTTAACAACTTTATTTAATTATCGCCTAATCAACCGTGCCATTTTGTTATGGGAACCTTCCAACGGGACGGAGGTAGTAGCAAGTAATACGAAGTAAGATTTTCATCAAACTAAATAAAAATCATTATCACGTAAAGTACTAAAGGTTTTTTTTTATCGTTACGTAAAGTACTAAAGGTTAAAGTAAAACTTTAACACATTTTTTAATTAATTAATGAAATTTTGAACTAGTAATATTTTAATATTTCTGTGCAATCAAACCCTGGCATTTTTGCAACTCACCATGCAAATCAATGTTTGCGAGCAGACATTTAGTTGTCTGTACACATATAATCTATATATTTTGTCTATGTTTTATAATTTTTCAAGATATAGACAATGAAAAAACAAATGTCTGTATACATAGACAAAAACTCAAATTTCTTTTTTTTTCAAACCTATAATATGATAATACTACCTCCATCCCATTTTATGTGTCTCACTTTGACTTAGCATAGTTATTAATAAAATAGTTGAAAAAGTAAAAGTTGTGGTTGAGATTTGAATATAATAAAGTGAAATGATGTAAGTCACATATTTTTTCCAAAAAGGGAAAAGAGACACTTATTTTGATTTCTGAGACAGCCTAAAAAGGAAAGTGAGACAGATAAAATGAGACATAGGGAGTAGTAAAGATGATGAGGTGATGAAGATGAGAGGTTACCAATATGGTGAGATAGATGAAAGTGGAAGATGATGGAGATGGTGGTGGATGTGAAGGTGATGAAGGGAGAGGTGGGGGGAGAGTTTCATATGGAGGGAGAGGAGAGAGGAAGAGCTAAAAACGAGGGGCTTTACATGATGTGTCAAAGTTGTACACATTTTGTCATTTTTGTGTCACCTAGCATTATTGATAAATTTTAGGGAGCTCTAGTAACATGATTTTTCAAGTTCAGTCACGGGTTTTTTATTCGATTCGTCCAAAAAAATGAAAACCCTTGTTCTATTTAGGGTCGATTTACGGGTTTCGATTTGTTTTCACCCCGATGGCAAACATCTATTGTATGTGTATTTTACTATTGTATAAATTTAATCTCATTTAATCGATTAATGTCTAGTCTACTCTTGGACCAATATCATTCTTACTACAAAACTTAGCTTCATTTTGTAAGAAAAGACTGACCCATTAAATGATTTCTTTGTAAATTTTAAAAAATCTTCAATGATTAAATAGTTCTTCATTAAAAACTGACTGATCAAACAAATATGTGAACATTTAAAAAACTTCTGGCTATTTAATCAAATAATGCCAAGTATTTGATTTCTTCTGATCTTTTTTTATAAACTGATTCAAATTTTTTCCATCATACTACGTATATCTAGTTTTCACCAAACATAGAGAATAGTTTCTTTTCAGAGGTTTGTTTCTTTTCCATTTCGGGAACAAAACCTAAAGAGTCGAATAGAAGATACAAAATTTGACCATGTTGAGAAGACAAATAGCTACTGATGGACCCGGGCCGGGTCGGGCCCGGTCGGGCCTCGGGTCTGGTAAAGGTAGGCCCGGGCAATGGCCGGTTCCGGTTCGGGCCGGGCCACCCGGCCGGGTCACGGGTCGGGCCACCCGCCGGGCCGGGCCGGGCCAGTATTTTTTTTAAAAATTAATTATATATTATACAAATTCCTATTAAAAACAAAGTTCAAGTGCATTTATTTGAAATATGAACTACATTTGAGAATTGAGAAAAAAATAACAATACGAAATACATTTTCTAATGAATATCAATTGGGATTTCCGCCACCGTTGGTTGTTGTTTTCCGTTTTTCACAGGACTTCATATGTTTTATTGGCATCCCGTATCCGTGTGAACGCCCCAAGCAACACTCTTTCTTGCACCACTTGCAAGTTGCCCACCACAGTCCGGTCTTCGGGTCCTTCCACTTGTCAAAATTGTTTTGCATAAGGGAAGATGTACTTTCCATATTTAAAATGGTATATGTATAAGTAGGATTGTAGGAATGTAGGATAATAAGAGAAGATGAAGATGGAGAAGAGTTGGAGAAGAGGTGTAGAAAAATGTTAGAAAATAGATGTATTTATAGATGTTTTTGAACCCCACTCCCCACACCACCACCCCCGGGACCCCCCCTGCCCCCCACCCATAGCCCGAACAGCTATATAGCCGTTTGGGAGGTTTTATTTCAAAAAAAAAATTAATTTTTTTTAAAGTTATACATATTGTAAAATAAATTAATAATTTAATGAATTAAGTAAAACTATTTGTACTTAGAAAAGTGGTTTGATTTATAATTTACAAATGTTACAAAATAGGTGTATAAGTATTTAAACAAATTACATATTGTAAATGTATTTTTAATTTAAAAACCGTCTTTATATTTTAGAAAAATAATTTTAAGTCGTTAGTTTGTAACCAATTAATTAATTTGAGAAGTGCTACATATGAAAAAGTGAACGCATATTTATTTGAAATATGAAGTACAACTTTACAAATTAATTTGAAGTACAACTACAAATTTACAATTTTGAAATATGAAGTACAAGTTTACAATTTTGAAATATGAAGTACAAGTATAAATAAATTTGACAAGTGCTACAAAATACATTTTATAATAAATTCTAAAATACTAATCAATCGGAATCTCCGGCATAGGTAGAGCCACCATCGGTTGTTGAGTCATCCATAAAATCTTGGGAGGGGGTGATGCTCATTTCTTGAGTTCTACGTGCGGCCTTCAACCAATCGTGGTAGCATATAAGCGTGTCAAGAGACTCCGCGCTCAATCTCGATCTAGATGTCGTTAGGACGTTGCCGGCCGAACTAAATTCTTGTTCCACAGCAACTGTTGAAATCGGCATTGATAGTACTTGCTTAGTCATCCGTGCTAAAATCGGGAACGTTCTTTCTTTTGACTTCCACTAGTTTAGATCGTCAAAGTCATCATTTTCTTCAAAATCAACTTCATATGTTACATACAAAGTAATCTCATTCAATGCACTTTGTTCAGTGACGTGAGTTGTTTTTTTTTTCATAAGATTGCCAAATGCAGATTTAAAAATCGATTTTCCTTTAGATGAAGATGTTTGTGACGGGGGAGGGGGAGCGTTGCTATATTGTGCACGAAACTCATTAAATAAGGCATAAAATAAAGCACTAACCTCGTTGCATTCCGTTTTCGGATCTATGGGGTTATCGTCATACATTGGAAATTCACCAAAAACGCAAGATAATAGAAGTTGAAACAATCTTCCAAATTAGCAAGTCTATAACGAGGATCGAGAATAAATGCAATACCATAAATATGGGGAATATGCGCATAATATTTTAAAAACTTTTCCTTCATATAATCACAAAAATAATGAACGAAAACGGCATTCTCAAATTCTTTAAAAGCACCGGCGAGATTAATAGATTCACGAATAAATTGGTTTGCGGTAGGTTTATAAACATGACTAAAAGTTTCAGTAGCATTAAAAAAAAAATCAAAACATTACAAATTTTTTCGCAAGTGTCGATCTCAGCCGCGTTTATAATATAGTTATCATGTTGTTTTAAAAAAGCAGGAAAATGTTCTTTATATCTAGGAACAACTTTAAGTAATTTATAAGTACTATTCCAACGAATACTCAAATCTTTAGGAAAAGCAACATATCTCACACCTCTTTCAGTCAAATAAGTTTGCCATTTTAATCTAAGTTGACCATTACCCCAAATACGTCTAATCCCCCCTTGATTACCTCCATGGAATCTCCTAACGCTTTTAAATCGTCTTGCACACATAAATTTATAACATGGCATGCACAGCGTTGATGAAAAAATCTACCCATCAAAGTATTGGCACCACACAATTCACGCAATCTAGGTATAACAACAGTATTATTAGTAGCATTATCGAAACCAATAGCAAACACCTTATCAATCAAATTATACTCAATTAAAATACGCTCAATCAAAATATAAATATGTTCAGCGGTGTGACAATCATTAAATTCACGAAAAGCAAGAACACGTTTATGCATATTCCAATCCTCATCAATATAATGTGCAGTCAGATCCAAATAATATAAATGATGAAAATCATCCTCCCATATGTCAGAACAAATAGTAACACGCCCATCAAAGTTTGCAAAAAAAATTTGTAACCTTGCCTTTTCCGCATTATAAAGCCTTATCATTTCTTTCTTAACAGTTTTGCGACTATAATTTCTAAATTGAGGATTTAAAATACCTTTTGCATAATCTCTTAAAGCAAGACTTTCAGAAAACATATAAGGCAGATTTTCTTCACAAATTAAGTTAGTCATACCAGTCAAATTTTGTGCATCATTGTAGGAGAAATTACCAAAAGGTTGAGAATTCGCAAACCTCGATATTTGAGTGTCCTTCCCCGTTCCGCCGCCTAATTTTGCATACTCCACGGGGTGCTTTGCCTTAAGATGCCTTGCGGCGGATCCGTATCCGCCGGAGGTTCCCAAACTATAATTGTTGTTGCACCACTTGCAAGTTGCGTGCCAATAGCCGGTTTGTGGGTCCTTCCATTTATCAAAATTATTTTGCATTAGTTCAGACTTACTTTTTTTATTACCGGTGGCGGTTTGGGATGAGGCAGGCTAGTCGGCGTCGTGACTGCCGGCACCCTCCTCCTCGGCCGTCTCCGGTTCCAATTCCTCCGCATCTTCATCCTCAAGCTCCTCTTCGTCAATGGTCGTCGGCATTTGTTGTTGTTTTAGAAAGCGGTTATTATGTCGGGCCAATTCTTGTTGGAGTTGTTCTTCGGACATCGCATCTCCATCTCGCCTTTGGTAACCCGTTTCAAAATCATCTCGGCTTTGAGATGAAGAACCGGCAAGTTCTTTACCTTTGCGGGATTTCTTCCTCCCAATCTCGTTCCTTCGATTGCGTTGGAGGTTACCCAAATCAACCGAATATCTACCACATTCCATCTTAAAAATGTAACAAATATTAATTCGCAACAAATATAATAATGAATACAAAACTAATGCAACTAATCAAAACTATTTTAATTAATACTTCAAACTAATTTAGGGCAAAGTAGAATTAATGTGTGACTCTAAAATTACAATTATAGCAACTTTTCAAGTACTTTAATTTAGTAAAAACTACTTAACTAATTAACTAGTATAATAAAAAACGTAACAAGAATGCTAATGAACTAATTAACTAGTATAATGAAAAATGTGACAAGAATACTAATTAACTAATTAACTAGTATAATAAAAAACGTAACAAGAATGCTAATGAACTAATTATTTAGTATAATAAAAAATGTAACAAGAATGCTAATGAACTAATTAACTAGCATAATGAAAAATGTAACAAGAATACTAATTAACTAATTAACTAGTATAATGAAAAATGTAACAAGAATGCTAATGAACTAATTAACTAGTATAACGAAAAATGTAACAAGAATGCTAATGAACTAATTAACTAGTATAATGAAAAATGTAACAAGAATACTAACTAACTATTTAACTACTATAATAAAAAATGTAACAAGAATACTAATTAACTAATTAACTAGTATAATACTAGTTATAGTAACTAATATATAATATAATGTTTATAGTATATAATATATAAGTATACTACTATAAGATGAGTAATACACTTATATTTTATACTTTAATATATAAACTATATATTAAGTAGATGTAGAATGTATGTATTAACTAATAACTATTAAGTGGATATAATAATTAGATAAGAATTAAATATTAGAGTATAATGGAGAATTGGAGATTGGTGAATAAGAAAATAAGTATATATGAAATATAAGTAGAGAAGTAGATATTATTATGTATTAAGTATATAGTAATAGTTTCTAAAGTATATTTAATACTTTAATATATGAAGTATATATTAAGTAGATGTAGTATATATGTATGTATTAAGAGATATAAGTAGAGATTAAATATAATGGAAAATAAGAGAATTTGAGAAGATGAATATGGAGATGAGTAGAGAGTAGGATTTAGGAAGAGTTGGAGAAGAGCTGTGAAAAAATGTTTAAAATTAGGAGTATTTATAGTTTTTTTTTAACCCCCACCCCCCAAAGGCCCCTGACCCCCCTGGTACTCACCCAACGGCTGTATAGCCATTTGGGAAGTGGGTCAAGTTCAAGTGGGTAAAAGGCCTTTTTAATTTAAAAGGAATTTTTTTTTTAAAATGGACCATTAGGCCCGGGCCCAACCCGGCCGGGCCTCCAAAAACAACACCCGAGCCCGGACCCGCCACCCCACCGGTTCGGTGCCCGAACCGGACCCGGACCCGAGAACCGGTCCGGTTCCGGGCCCGTACAGTAACGGGCCGGGCCGGTCCCGGGCCGGGCGGCCCGAACCGGGTCCACCACTACAAGTAGCCCTAATTGGGTCATCATCAAAAATTGAAATTGTGATATGGAAATCTTTTTTCCAATAAAAAGATGGTAAAATAAAGATTAAAATATATAATGACAATAAAACACATCATTCAACTCAATCCAGGAATGAAGAATACATAATAAGCAGCCACACACACTTGATAAGCAAATTCATCCAGAGAGGACAACCGTTGACATTCTTACAGATAACAACAATTCACCAAACGAAACCCACTTAGGCATACAATCTGCAGGGTCTCGTTTATGCATAAAGCTGAAGGGAGAGCGAGAGAAGTGCTTCCAATCAATATATTGGATAAATTATCACATGGCAGAGATCTTTTTTCTCTGAACCCTAGAAGCTACGGGGAAAGAATGTCTGTCCAACATAACCTCCTGACATTGCCCTTCTCACATTGGACTCGAACAACTTTGGGTTATCCCTCAGCACCGCGGCTGCATCTGGATTGAGAGGATCCTCATGGTTTGGTTCCTGATTCGCATTCAACCATCACCACAACAAACATTCATAAGGTTCCGAATGACAAATATCTACTTTAGGTCTTGGGATTTCATTTTTTCCGGTATTCGTGCATAACTATTAGGATGCTTTTACTTGGACTTATTTCAGTCCCAAACCAGACCAAGTCTGATCCAACCCCACCAGACTAAATCAGACCAGACCAAACAAGACTTTGATAGTTATAATACACACAGAGACCGAACCACAAAATTTCAGTTCAATTAAAAACATTCTTGGTGTATATCTACTTCTTGAGGGTGCTTGGTGGAGGAATGGGAATCGAACTAAAGATTATCAAGCACACGCTTAATCCTTTTGATCCCTTACCTATCTGATAACCGTTTTTTTTTTTTTTGCAAAAAAATGTGATCGAGAAGGATAGAAAGGGGCAAGATATCCAAGTCAATCACCACATATGGGGAAAAAGTTCAGTACTAAATGTAAAAATGGCCTACTATCCGAGAGACCAGTAGTAGAATTTTTTGTCACAAAAATAAAATATTCTACATTTGGTTCCATGATTTTCATATTTTCACACTAGTTTTGGTCCCACGGTTTTCATATTTTCCCACTACTTGGTGCATATTTATGTACTTTTGATCCTTTTGGTCCTTTCAATCACTTATCAAACCATGTTTTCTTGTCCAAATAAGTTATTACAAGGTTTGAAAGTGGCAAGATATCTAAAACGTGTGCACTGAAAAAGGAAAAGATGCTATGAGTGAAAAATACCCAATAGCAGATAGGGACCAATAGTGGCCGAAAAGGGTTTAGAATGAACCACACAACTAATATGATGACCTTACCGTGAAGAGATGATACAGCCCATAAATAATAGTGTTAATGTTCAGCACTGGTTTCCAGTCTTCTCGAAGAATGTTAAGACATACATTTCCCTCCAAGTCAATGTTTGGGTGGTAAACCTGAAGTAATCCATTAAGTGTAATGATTAACAGGAAGCATCTGATGTAAATTATTATCATAACTAGAGCACACCTTTGTCTTGCATTTGACTTTTGGGGCTTCATGAGGGTATGTTGGAGAAATCCGGAAGGAGAATATGAATGTTCCACCTCTGAGAATAATGAATCTTATTCATAACAAAATAACACAATGGGAAATTCTGCTTCCCAATTCATTACTGATTGATATGAGAAAATGAAATGAAGTACTTACGAGTAGTACCCTTCATCGGGCCTAATGGTAACCTCAAAGTTCATTAGATCATCTTTTCCATTAGGGAATGCTATACTACACGTCTCTGGTAGATTTAACTCACTTATATCTGCTTGAAGTTAAAAAATTGTTAAAACATCAGAGCTATTTCTAAAACACTTATAAGTTATAACTGGAAGAATAAAAAAGAACACTAGAGACATTTGTCGAAAAACTATAAAATGCATGTACATGATTGCATGAATATTGTTACAAATTATACAGACCCATAGCAACCCTTTTGTCTATCCATGTACATTAACATCTACATGACCATTTACATTCAACGAATTTAAGTATTCAGATAACTGTTTAATAATTGCAGAAGAACAAAGCTGTCAAAACAAATTTAAATCCTAAAGAATTAAGATATATGAAGTACTTGTTTAGTTTCCACTACTTTCCCACTAAGGTATTGATGAGTTGAGGTCTAAAGTGGCCTTTAACAGAATGATGAGTGCAAATAAAAAAGATAAATTAAGGTCTTACGATAGAGCTTGGGACTGGGAGAAGGAACAAATATCACTAAAACCGACACCCATTACCAAGTTAGGGTCTGATAAAAAACTTGCTGCAGGTTTGATAAACAAGTGTACAAGTATAGTATAAAAGATTTGCACTTAATCACATCTTACAACAGAGACAGAGAATAAAAAAAAGGATAAGGGGGAACTTTAAAACAAATTACCTTTGTGAAGTCGCAGTTCTCCTGCACTTTGCTTCTTCACCAGTGGCTTTCCATTTGCATTTTCAGCAAGCTCTCTCTGCTTTTCCTTCACCTTAAACAACTTAATCATGGTATCTGAAACTGCAAGAGATACATGTAATGAATCTATTATTTTCTCTAATATAGAAGAACTACTGCTTTGGCAGAAAACAATGTACATTGTACTGTTTCAATGTCACCACCACATAAATAACGCAAGCATGAAAAAAAGGTTTTCCAGTCAAGAAAGAAGTAATCTTTCTTTATATCTAGCCAAATGAGATTGAAGGAACGCAAGCATGAAAAAAATGTCAAACTAATAGCCAAGATATATCTAGCCAAATGAGATTGAAGGAATTCTTCCATGTATTTCCTTGTCTCGCTAAGATTGTACCATCTTTCTTTTTTGGTTCATATCACTAAGATTGTCTCGTACCAAATCTGATAATGTTCATGTGGTTCTAAATTGTTCTTACTTTATTCTCACTATCAATTCAATACTCACCCATATTAGGGGGATGGAGGTTGTATTACTTCAGCCATGGAGTTAAACTTCTTTGCCATAGGTTGAGTGCGTATGAAAATATACATCAACTCACACACCCTAAATCTAAAAGCAATTATAAATGTAGATTCCTTCCAAGGACAAATGAAAATGACTCGCTCATGAAAATTCAACCACCAGCATTGAGAGGTACCCAAGCATTCAACTACATATAGAAAATATGAGCTCCAATACACACCCTATGCCTCATAAAAAGAAATATCAATTCCTTGAAGAGGTAGGGCTTAGAAACAGAAAGAACATTTGTGTGGGGTCCTAAAATAATTCAGATCTCTTGTTCAAACATGAACCTCCACAGGAGTATCAAATAACTCATCACGGAATCTATTAATATTATTATATAAAAGCAAAAGAAATTTCCTACGCATTCCCACCTAAAGAGCTCTTCTGAATAAATCCACCTTATCATATAAAAAATTCCACAAAAATTATTAATAAGAATGTAACATAACAAGCCCCATTCTGTGTGACACCACACAGCTACATCTTGAGCCGTGTGCTAATCTATAACATCACACCACCACCACTGCAACATGCCATAAACCTTCCTATTAATGAAGTAGCAAAGTTTTCCAAATGAGCATCACCTAAGAACTACTGGAAATTAAAAGTCTTACCAACAATACAAAAGCACAAACACCTTAACGCAATTACTCTGAAGAACTCAAAATGATACACACAAACAACTTATATGAATAACTTTAAAATTTCAGAAAAACATCCATATATAAATATAAAAATCCTATATTTGTTCAGCAAATACATAGGGAGAAAATCCTATAATAAGTAAAAAATCCACTTCGATATTAATTCTAAACTCTGCATTAGAAACCAAAAAAAAGGTGGACAAGACTATCAAAAATAAATATTATTACTTTTACCTTCTCTAAGTTAGACCTGTAAGCAATACAATCAAGGTTGAGTGATTATGCGGACGAATCTGACATCCAACTGCGTTGGGTATTGGAAACGCAGATTGGAGCCGAGCAGATATCAGTGAGCTCTTCCGTTAGCCTGAGGGGGCAAGGATTTATTTAGTACACCACGGCAAGAATGCTTGTTCAGGTGAAAATGCTAGGAAATTCCCAAAATCGATTTCAGGGTAAGATGATAATTACAGACAACCTCAATATAAATAGAACCAGAAGTCCAGAAGATAAAGACATAAGATCAAGCAAAATAGATGTAAAAATTAACCAGGAAAGACGAAATAGAAAAAAATCGAAAACCAAAATAAGAAAATATCAAATCTGCAGATTGAAATAGCAAAAGTACGAACAAATACGCGAAATAGATACAAAGAATTTTCTTTACCTGAGAAAATCAAAATACGAGGATCAAGCGGCTTCAATTCTCAGATGAAACCCTCTCACAAAACGATGAGAGGGATCAAGATTGAAGAGAATCGATACCGACAGCTTGTCTAGGTTTTAAACTTTTTTATTTCAAAGAAAGTTTATTTTTTAATTGAGACTGCTTCACTTACAGTGTCACAGCGTGTTAACTTATTATTATACACAGTATTAGTGGGAGGATAAGATTTTTTCGGTTCTTGATGTCAACATATTTTATTGGGATGTGCTTTTATATGAAGTACTTAAAAAAGGATTTAAAGTGATTTTAGAAAAATTATTTAATTATTAAAGTGAGAAGCGTTATAGAGTAAAAGTGATTAAAAGGAAAAAAAATTGAAATTATAGAGTTTTATAAAAAATGATTTTGTTTGCAAAAAAGAAAAATAATTTTGATATAAGATTCTTTTATTGTACAGAATCTTGATTGGATCAAACATACGTAATATGTATATCAACCATTCTTGGTGTACACGTTTTTGTACCCATCAGTACACGCATGTGTCTGTGAGAGTTTTTTTTGTCTGTGAAGCGCGGTCCACAGTCATAAGTTCGCTTGTTTTGTCTGTGGAAAATTTCACAGACAAAACAAACAAGCTTTTGTCTGTGGACCGCACTTCACAGACAAAAAAAAAACTCTCACAGACACATGCGTGTACTGATGGGTACAAAAACGTGTACTGATGGGTACACATGCGTGCACTCTTGAAGAGTTGAAGCCTTATTCTATGTGCCACTTTGGTGACCATTATTCGGTTTGTCTGGTCTAGCATCCAATTTTTTACCAAATGCATAACTTTTGATTTTGTGTGCTGAAATGTGTAATAATTAGGGCTGAGCAAAACCCGATCCGACCCGAAAAACCCGATATTTTTTTCGAATATTATCCGAACCGAAGTGGATATCCGACCCGAAAAACCCGAAACCGAAAATCCGATTAGTATTGGGCCTAGACCGGGTGGCGGGTAGGGTTTGTGAAATCCCAACCCGACCCGCCCGAATATCCGAAATATATGTTAGTGTGTACTTTGAATATTTAAATTAATACTTGTGTTCAATTATTTGTGTAATTATTTGTACAATTTGTATTAAATTATTTGTGTAAATTGAATGTGTAGTGAACTAGTGTGTACAACTTTTGTTAAAGTGGCATTCCAACACTTTAACTATCCAATTATAATGTGTTTTGATATAACCAAAATGTCCGAAATATATTAAATTATGTAGTGTGTACTTTGAATATGTTAAATTAATACTTGTGTTCAATTATTTGTGCAATTTGTGTTAAATTATTTGTGTAATTTGGAAGTTTAGTGCACTAGTGTGTACAATTTTTGTCAAAGTGGCATTTAAGCACTTCAATTATCCAATTATAATTTTTTTTAATATAACCGAAATATCCGAAACCCGACCCGATATCCAATAATATCCGACTAAAAAATATCCGAAATACACGAATTGAAATATCAAAGGGTCGGGCCTAGTATTTAAATTAAAAAACCCGAACGGGTTTAGGGTTCGCAAACCCGACCTGCCCGAACCCGACCCGTGCACACCCCTAGTAATAATAAGAAAAAGTAAGGTTGAAGTTACTTTTTGGCTGTTTCAGCTGAAGAATTTTAGATGATCATTTTAGCTATTTTTACATATAATTTTTTCTTTATTTAATAATATATATTTTAAATTTAATTTTTTCATAAATCAACAGAATCAGTCCATACAACTACTTAAACCAGAACTTCATAAATTTCAGCAGAATCAGCCGATTTAATGTTACCAAACGGGCTCTAAATGTAAGTGTTGGGATATAATATCCCGATTTGTTAGTGTTAAGGAGCCCAATACATCGTCCCAGTACGAAGCCCAAATGGCAAGGCCCATTTCAGTCTTTCGGGCCTGTTTCGGCCCTTTGGGCCCATTTCGTGTCCCTTGGCCCGTTAGGGTGAAGAGCCCCCTTTCCCCTTCCCCCTATAAATAGAAGGTTTTCCATCCATGTAAAGGAGGCTCCTTCTCTTCTTCCCCAACTTATTCCTTATCTCTAGAATAGCTTGCAAGATTCCATTAATGGGAGCTCAAATTGTATATTGTAATGGTGAGGAGAGTCTAATGAGAAAGAGAGGGCTTGGACATTAGTCTAAAAAGTCTCGTGATTTTATCCCTTTCGGATTTCCACGTCAAAACGGAGCATCCATACCAAATTATATCTATATTTACTACTTAGTATATCGTGTGTGATTAAACTCAATGGTAAGGAATGGAAATGATAGATAATTAAACATTTAATTAAAATGAAATCAAACTTCACAATCTTCCGTTAAATGTTTCAATTCTTTTCACGATTGACAATAAAAATGGAAATTTTTTCAATAAAATATTCACTAGTCCTTTAACAAATTAAGTAATTAACGATATGACAAAATGTCATAATATAATTATTAATACTGCAAATCTGAAATCACATAAATCATACAAATTTTAAAAATCTTATCGGCACACAGAAGAAGACATTCAGTAACCACTAACCATGTTTATATACGAATAGTCTATTGTAAGAAGAAAAACTTTTGAGTTGGCTATATTTGAAAAACCTTTAAAATGTGAAAAAAAATGATACCACATGCTATGTACAAGTGTTATGTGAACTTTTAAGCCTATTTGAAAACTTCTCAATTTTGTTTCCAAAAACAAACTATACTAAATACGGAGTATTAATATTATTTCAAATTTTAAATCTATTTTTAGGGGTAATTTGAGTTTGCAACCCATATTATTGTCTAGATTGGAGTTTGCACACAGTTTTTAAAAATCTTTGTTTTTGCACCCCAACCCCATATGAAAAGACAAAAATGCCTTCAATTAGAAATATGTAGAAGGTCAACAGAATTGTTAATGAAGGGGCATTTTTGTCTTTTCATATGAGGTTGAGGTGCAAAAACAAATATTTTTAAAAACTGGGTGCAAAGTCCAATTATCCCGATTTTTAGTAGACCACAACTTTCCAATCCAATTTGATATAATTTGTGCAAGTCTGACTTTATTGGATCTTAATCGATCTTGTCCGATGTGATAGATATTTTCTTTTTTATGTATTTTACTACTTAAATGTAGTTCATCTCATACGATATGGTCTTATTTGATCTGGACATATGGACCAAGAAAACGGCTCAGGGGTCGAAACTCAATCTATATATGCAAAATAAAAATGGTGGATGATTTTTAAACTATGTCCGAGTTGAATATTTTACATAAGTATAGAGGATGTTTTCACTTAGACTATAATTTGCTGGTCTGATCTGGTCTGAACTGGTCTGGTCTAGTCTGGTAAGGTCTGGTTTCTTTGTATATTTTATAACTATCCAAGTGTGATCTGGTCTGGTCTGAACTGGTCTGGTCTGAACTGGTCTGGGACAAATTACAGTCCAAGTAAAAACATCCTGAGTGAATTATACCCTGTTTTTAAAATTTTGGAAAATAATCTGTAGATGTATCAAATTTTGCCGATTTTACGTTTATACTCCCTCCGTCCCGGGGAGAAGTTCCCAATTTCCTTATTTGGAGGGAGAATGTGTATATCAACCACTAAGGTTTGAGCCAAGGAGCAAATTGGACACTTAAAACATTTTAGGAGCGAAATACACCCCAATTTGACTTTTTTGAAGCACATTACCCACCCAGCTCTAACACCGTTAATTAGACTTCCGTTTTTAGTCTGCTCCTTAGCTTGCTGCCACCACACACATAATACACTTGAAATTGTTTATTTTTTATACCCTACTTTAAATTCTTTTTCCTTTTACTAGATTATTACTCGTACATTATGATGGATATTGTGAAATTTATCTTAATGTAATTTAAATTGACAAATACGGAGTATAATTTTTATGCTTTTATTAATAGCTAGACAAATGTATTATTTAACTGTTTGACATGCATCAGAAAACTTTAAGTTTGAATTAATATACTTAGACGCCGTTTGGTGATTCCGTTTATCGACTTATCAGGCTTATTAGTCAACTTTTTAAACATAACACGTAGAATTGTGTAATAATAATAAAAAGTAAAGTTGAAGTTACTTTTCTGACTGTATTGGCTGAAGTTACTGTAAATGACCATTTTAGCCATTTTCATATAATTTTTTCTTTATTTTATTAATGAAATATATTTTAAGTTATTTTTTCATATATTAGCACAATCAACCAATACGGTCACTTCAACCAGAACTTCATAAATTTCAGAAGAATCAGTCGATTTAGCGGAGTAACTAAGAATACAGTCACCATAACACTATAATATATACTACGTATAATATATTATTATCTTGAGTTTACCCTTGCCATTTGTGTACTAATTATTTCATAAAAATCATACTCGTATTATTTAGATTTAATAATACCCAAAAATTAATGTTGACCTTGTACGTATTACTTATAAGTAATTGAAGAATAGAATCACAAGACATATCCGATTTGTTGTAATTAAAGAATAAATTTTATAGGATAATAGAAAAAAGATAGTTAAGCTATTGGAAAACTTTAGGGCTTTTCACAAGAACTATTTGCTAATTAAATAAATAAGTTTGAATAATTTATAATTGAACTTAATAAATTATCAAATTCATATTTTTGAGTCATAAGTTTTTAATTTAAAGAAAAGTTAAATAAATTGATATTATTAGGTCGTGAAATTGTTAATTTTTTATTTAAGATGTGTTAGAAAAAGCTAGGACCAGCCTTGACAATTGTACAAACATGTACAAAGTATTAAAATACATGTGGAAATATTAAGAAATCAATACTACGTATAAAATAATTAAAAAAACATGAAAGAAAAAACTGGAAATAAGCCAAACTAGAAAAAATAACTAGAAGTCTTAATACTTTTTTGCTTAGATTAAAGTTAAAGTAGATCTAAATACGGAGCATTGATAAACACTACAATATTAAAGAAACAAATGAAAGAAAAACAAGTATAACGGCGTTGGTTGCATCCGTGATTGGGTGGGTAATATGCCCTTAAAAAAATTAAATAGTGTCATTTTTGTTCTAAAAATAACCTTAGTATCTAATATGCTTTTTGATCTAAACGTTAATGGTCAATATGCACCTTTTCCCTTATTTGGATGTCCCAAAAGAAACTTCCCATTTCCCTAAATGGAAAGTTATCCTACATTAAAACAGTGCCAAACAGTGTCAAACAGTGTCGA